GGACACTCACCAAGACACTCACGTCAACAGGAGGGGAAGGGACACTCCTGCTCCAGCAGCCCCGTTRGGCGGGATCACGGAATGGCTCCAGGTTTCCCATGAGCAGAGGACGGCAAACCTGGACYTGGTGGAACCTGGAACCTGGACTTGGTGGAAGTGCTCGTGTGTGGCCGCTCCTGAGCCTTGCTATGGAGGGAAGTATTTCACCTGGAGTGATGTTGTTTCCTTTTGGGATGATTTACTTAGTGAAGATGCTGAGGCTTTGTGGATGTTCCAGCTGAATGTCCCTGGTAAATCAAGGCGCTCGATGCTTAGGCTGTTTCTTAACCGAAGTAATTGTGTTTCTTAACCGAAGTAATTGTGCGGAACTGCATTTTGGATTATACACCAGCTTGCATTTTTTTGTAAACATATGTCAATAATTCCACTTTGCCATGCCACTGAGTCACTGCTCTGCAACCACACCACATTAACAGGAAGCCCAGAAGTTTCAGTTCACCTGATTTGACTCTTCTCAAGACATAGTTGGATATATGTAGGTCACTGTATAAAGCAGCAGTCTCWTGATATGTGCTTGGTTTTAATTCCTGAATTAAAAAGAACAACCAGCAATAAGGTGGAGTGGTTATCAGTGGTCCCTTAGGTGGCATGAAGCAGTATACAYTGAGATGGTCTGAATTTCCCTTTCTCCCTTCTGCATATGCTATGGTGGCTCCTATTGCAGCAAGCCCCGTTGCAGGTTTTCTTCATGCTTTACAGATGTCAACAGTGATTTCCTGCTGAAGCAGGACCACTGCTCTAACATCTGTTGCCCTTGATGCTGCTTTGTTGGTTTTTCTGAAGGGTTGTTTTCAAATTAAGCACTGAATCTCCCTGTTGCTGCAACAGAAGTCATCGCATCAGTGTCCCCAGGAGAGGAGCAGTACTATCAGAAGCAGTTGTACATTGTTGTACCAGCTTGTCTCCGAGTTGGTTTTCTCTTGGAGCTCCATTCCATCAGTATTTCTGAGGGAAGAACATGATTATTTAAAGCAAAGTCTATCCTCTAAATACGCCTTAGAATTGAGACCATGYTGAACTAATAGTCACTTTCTACTTACTGTTTTTATGGTATGAAATGCCACTTTTAGGACCCTTATTATACTTATGCAGCATCTTTTACTTCACAGACCCAGAAATTATGTAACGGTGCCAAGCGAAGGTCAGAAACAGCGTGTTCAAAGGAATATCCCATATACAAGCAAAAGTGTTACTGTCAGAGGAAGTGTGTTACTGACAGCGGAGCAAAAGTGTTACTGTCAAGGGAAATAGGTGAGTGGCACATCTTGTGCAGAGCCGAGTCAGCAGCGTCTGCCCTGAGACCTGACGCAAGAGTCTTTTCCAAGGTCCCTTGACACTCTYGGGCCAAGCCGTTTTAGTAAAACCTTCCTCCTCCTTCCAAAAAATTCTCAGTGTCTTTCACAAGTTTGTTGTGAAAAAGGCAAAAGTGTAAAGGTCTTGCCGTCTCTGTGCTAATTTTTTTGAAGTCTGCCTTAATGTTTTCAAGTTTGAAAGTCGTGGAAAAATCTTAGCATGGAGGAAAACAATATAAATATATGATAAAATGCAAAGAATTAGCCTCACGAACAACCAGCAACACCAACACGCATGGTGTTGAAGGACTTGTGGTTGGACTTGATCTTGAAGGTCTTTTCCAACCATAACAATTCTATGGTTCTAAGAGGAACCTGAAACCTGGGGATGCCCTCAGGCAGATTTCAAGCCTGAACTTCTGAGTTTTAAGCACAGTGTGATCCCTGGCTCATTCATAGAGATACGTAAAGGGAGAGATTTTTACCTCCAGGCACCTCCAAGACATTATAGAAAGATGTAGAGATATTTTCTTCCACATGCTTTCCCCTTGACAGCGTATCTAGCCCAGCATTTGATGCTGAGGCTGCTTCTAGTAACACAACATAATTCCAGCTATCTAAAAATGCACCAGAGCTCAAGGAAATTTTGCACATCACTGTGCTAGTAATACATGACAGGTGAATGCTGACGTACAGTACTGGTTGTTCACCTGCGGCCTCATTCGAAGTCAAGAAGGAAGCGCCTGTGGTTTTTGAGGCCGATGTGATGCAGAGTTCCAGTCCTCCCCGAAAAATCCTCTGTGTTCAATATGGGTCAAGAAGTCATTGTCGAGAATGATAAACCGCTGCAGGGTTTCAGCGACCGGCGGAAAGTCCTTGCAGCTGCACTCGAAGCTCCKGTCGGCGAGGTCGGCGAGGGAGAGACGCTTCGCTCTTGGGAGAAAACACAATCTAATCTATGAACAGTTTTGAAATTGAAGTAATTCGTAAAAAAAAGAGCAGAGCATAATTTAAAGAAGGACTTTGTAGCTTCAAATTAGAAAAGAACCATAGCGCATATGTTTTCTTGTAAGAAAGTTGTGTTTTAAGCAGTATCACTAGGCATTAAAAATAGACAAAACCTACTGAAAAATCCTAAGAACAAAAATTGACCTTTTTAAAAAACTTTCTTTCCTCCTAATCTTGAATAGTTCAACTTTTTGAACTTTTGGAAAGCTTGAGCATAAGGTATAACACAAGACATCAGTAGTTCAGGCTCTAAGCAACATCTCAGCTGGAATATTTGGAAATGTTAAGAAAGTAGTAGGGTGGAAGGCTGCTTTTTTAAGGTGTCTTCTTTAAAGAAATTATTTAYTTTATTACCTACCAGTGCTTGTTTTCAGCCAGGACTTCCCATTAATCAATGAAGCGTTTACAGCTTTCATCCACCAAGCTGCTTGAACAAGAAATACAAATTCTTTTCCAAATGCAGCAGAAAAGCCTCTTATACCTCCTACTGTCTCTGGATTCAAATTGAGGCCTGGAGAGCGATCCAGTGGTGTAGCTCCATAGCTTTCCCTAAGATTAAATGCCAAACGCACATCTCTTATCTAAGGTGACAAGAACTCATCAGAAGAGATGATGACAGTGAGTAGTCCCTGTAAAAAGCAATCTTGCAAAAGAAATTATGGACCTTCGGGAGGCATATGTCATTTTCCAAAGCAATTTTCTTGACATATGACAGAAATAGCTGTGACCAAAGCTCTAGCTGTACCACAACCAAGTGGTGCTCCCAGAACCAGCAGCCCTCAGTGGTGGCTGCTGGTGGCTGGCAAGAGGCAGAGTGGGCTGGTGAGCAGGGGAACGATGCAGGCTGCTAAAACCAGGGGTTGGCAAGTTGGTGAACACTCATTTTTGACCTAGGCCATACTCACAGCAAGCCAGAAGGGTGGAAAATAGGTTGTTAGAACTCAAAATAACAAAGTGCAAGATTGAAGAATGTAAAGGTTCGTCACTGAGTTAGAGGGTCCACAGTGGCTGGCGGGCAGCAGCTCTGGGGCAAGGGGAGGTTCTGCCCGCCTTGGAAGAGGCCTCTTGGAAAAGGCTTTTGCTCTAGGATGGGGACCCACTCGCTGCTGRACAAGCCAGTGGAGAAGTGAGAGAAGCAGAAGAAAAGAAATGGATGTTGAGTATGAGGAGGTGTTTAGGACCTGGGGAGGAGTTTGTGGGAGCACATTTCAGGGGAGGCCAGTCTTCCAAAACCCTCCCTCTGTTTGGGTTTCTCTAAATTTGGTCTTCAATTGAAGTCCTCCTCAGCCTCCCATCTTCTCATACATCTTCTCCTCCATGGACTATGAAAAATCAGTGGGAAGGACTTATATAGAGTTACTCTTGAAAGACCTTGTGGCACTCATGTTACGTGAAGGCAAGTGAGGCACACAGAGATGACCTCGTCCTGTGGATGCATCARGGGAGGCTGAAGTTTGGTGCCCAAGGGCTTTTAACTGCTCCCTTTTGGCTATAAGGAAAAGAGTTGGGTATCTCTGCTCACAGGTCCTCTGGGTTTGATAACAGGAGCCTTGCAGCACCGTGGCTGTTGGACAGCCGCGCGTTTGCACCTGTGCCAGCTCCGTGTGCTCCGGCGTCGCTGCCTCAGCTGGGCTGCACATCCCTCTCCGAACAGAGCCGTTTCCCTCTCACATCCTGAACAGCAGTTTGAGCTGCGGGTGCAGCTCCTTTCCTGTGGAGCCTTTGCATTAGCAACACAGAGACAGAAATGTGGAAATCACCAGCATAAGTGAGATCATAAACACAATTCTGGTTAATAGCACTGTCTAGAGCTTGGAATAAAGGCCTATTTTTTTTTTCTTTTTGCAAAATGGGAGTTTGGAATCGAGGAGGGTGATAAATGCAGCCCTAGTTACCTTCTGATCTCTCTGAGAGAATTGCACAGCGAGGGACAGGTGGTCAGTGACTTCTGTGGACCAGTGTGTGGAACAGGTATCTGCAGAATAAGAATCACAGTTCTTGGGGTTCTGGTGCAGTCTTTGACTTTGGTGTTTGTGCACTTCTGTCAGCACCAATGGGGCACCACTCTTATACCACAGATAATAAACATAAATAAATGCAACTTGTAAAATCTGCCGTCAAATTGCTGATGCTTGACTGTGTGCTACAATTCAGACTGAAGGCACAGAACCATAAATTTCACAATGATTTCTATGCAAAAAGGATGCAGGATTCCTGCCCCAGTAGAAGCCCCCGCTTTGCCCCCACATTAAAATTTGGTTTACTTTATAAGAAACTAAAGATTACAATGTCCTTGAAGTTGTATTTGTGGGTTTTGTAGTGGTTAGGTAGTGCACTTCTCAGAAGAGGATACTGGAAAGCAAGAGACTTGCTGATGTCGTATTTCATTCACCACCAAAAAAAAAAAAAAAAAAAAAAAAAAAAAAGAAAAAAAAAGCCGAGCGGGATGCTGATGGGCCTATATAAGGTGCACCTCTCCTCCTGCCGGCACACCGAGAACCACAGCAAGGTAGGGCTGGAGCCTGGTGCCTCTGGTTCTTCACCTTGCCCGTGCTCTGCGGTGCTAACGCTGCTCTCTCTCGGCAGTGCTCAGCGCTGTGTCTGCAGCCCCTTGGTGCTGACCGCCTTGCGTCGTGAGCCATGGCCTCCCTGCAGAGCTGGACCAGGTGCTTCACCAGGTGGATCCTCCTCTGCTGCTGCTGCTGCCTCCCTCTTCTTCTCACCAGCCCTCTGCCTCCAAAAGGGCTAGGAGGCCCTGCGCATCATGCCTGCAGGCTCAGGAAGATCAACTTCCAGCTGCCCTACATGAGGAATCGCACCTACACCTTGGCTAAGATGGTACAGTAACCCCCCTTGGCTTCATGGCAGAGCCTGGGGACCTCTTCTCCTCCCAGTCCCTGCAGCATTTCTCTCTCTCCACCTCACCCCTCTCCAGAAGAGCAAGCATCTGTGGGGAGGCAGGATTAGGTCTGCTCCCTGCGAGTCATGGGGCCGGGGAAGATGTTGCCTCTGCTCCTCTCCATCCCAGAGGAAAGGCAACCCTTGGCCGGAGCGCAGCCCTTTGGCAGCTGTGCTTACACTTCTCTCTTCCCTCAGCCCCTCCAGAGCTAACTTTGGCTGTGCCTATGGACATGGCCGGAAAGGTCCCTGGATACTGGGCAATGATCTGCTTCCTTAGGTTTCTTGGCCTGCTCTCGCCCCTGTGTGACTCTCTGGTGTGCGGCATTGAGCGCGGCAGCACCTCCAGCAGCACCGTGGGCTGAAACTGGCCACTGGAGGCATCTGATTAGTCATCACCATCCCACAGCATCTGACATTTATGAGACAGACATGAATTTAGACCTCCGCTTATTTATTTTCCAGTGATGCCAAATCTGAGTTTCACTCAATTAGAATTTGAAATGGTTGCATTGCCCAGGTTTATCAACCTGTTGCAGGATTTCTGTGTCTCCATTGTTTGTTTCATCTGGATTATTATTGATGATAACCTTAAAGTTAATGATGTATTTAAGGTTTCCATTCTCATATGAACTTTTCTTTCTTCCTCCCAGGCCAGGGCCTCAGACCACGACACGGACAACAGGCTCATTGGACAGCAACTCTATGTTAACATCAAGGTAAGTTTTAAACACAAGAAGATGCTTTTTGCATCCTTCTGCAGCACTCRCAGACCTCTTACCATCATTTCACACGGCATTTCATTGCATGCGTAGGAAAACAACCGGTGCTACATGATGAAGAGAGTTATGGAGATCATTGTGAAAGACGTCCTCCTGTCTGAGGCCCAGCATCAGTATCCCTATACAAGGGAGGTGGCACAGTTCCTGGCGTCCATGACCTCGGAGCTGAGCAGATGCGTAAGTAGCCTTGGGTTTCCTTCCCCTTCATGYACTGCGACTCTCAGGGCTGCTCCTGAATCTCAGAATGCTGCAAAAGCGGCAAAAGGAAAGGAAACCTCAGAACAGAGATATCTGACTGGAGGTTAATGAAAGGTGTGAAAAAGAAAAAAAACAAACAGACTTTTGGTTGCATATAGCTGCCAATAATATCTGGATGTTTTCTCTTTTTTTTTTTTTTTAGAAATTCTCAGGACATAAAGAACACATTGAAAAGAATTTGGAAGAAATGACAAGCAAAATGAAAAAGGTACTTTTTTTCAACATTTTAAAAAGTCAGTTCTATACCTCAGCCACTTAGTTAGATTAAGGCTAACCTAATTATTGAAATGAAATTCGCRAGATTATCTAAGAGGTGAGACCTGTAGTGGCATTAAAGAGAAGATTAGAAATATTCAGCTTCCAGTCTTGTTTCACTGGTCCTGTTAACTCTCAGCTAAGGTTAGAGTAATTTAAACTGGCCTTGAGAAATCAGGCTGCAGGTAAATATAAGTGCTAGGTTGGCACTGAATGAGGTACTGTATACATTATGCTTTAATGACTTCAATATAATTACTTGTGAGAATAASGAGAGGAAGTTCTAGATTCAGATACTGTGACAAGCTTATATTTACATCTTCTGAGAAATAACGAGATGCAAAAACCTATATTCTGCTCTTTTCTAGTTGGGAGTGAATGGGAAGAATAAAGCCCTGGGAGAGCTGAATTTGCTGTTTGACTACATAGAAGATGCTTGTACTGACATCTCAAAGAAGGGAGGCAAATAGAAGGAAAAATGAAAGACTTGGGAATCAGGCTAGAGGAAGGATCTCCGAGAAACTCTTACTATGAAACAAATTGACTATTATGGATAAAAAACTCACATCTGTAGATGCTGTATATTTTTACCTGGGACAAAAATAGCAAGGCAAATGGGCACAGAGGGGATAYGTACTGCTGCCTTCTTTGTATAAGAAATCTCCACAGCAGTGCTTGCAGCTCCGTTTCAACAGGGCACATTAGTTATTTCAGAAGGCTCTTTTCTGTCCTACTAATCTCTGTTGGAATGAAGCAACAGTTTCTGTAGTTTGTAGGCTGGGACTTGACTGCTGTGAATGAGCTTTGTCCAAGGTAGGCAGTGATACCTGAGCAGGATGTTTTGAACCTTTAACTTGGAAAACTCTCTTGCATATGTTGCCCCCTTCTGACCTTTACCTGAAAAGTAGGTGTTTCAGGCTCATTTAAAAATTAATTTTGTCACTCGTATTTAATGGTAACTTATTTTTAAAGTAATAATATTTTGTGCTCCTATTTATATAGATTAGTTGAAAAATAATCAAGGAAATGTATTTATGAAATTGGACTCAAGTCTTTTAAATGAACTATGAAATGAAAACTGCTGTGTAATATTTATATGCAGATGGATTATTTTGTAAATTTATATTTTTAATTTATTATAATAAATATTTTGGTCTCCAAGAATTGCCGTGTTATAGAGCTTTTTTCTTTTACTCAAGTGCAAGGGGATGGTGTCTGTGGGGCTGCTGGGCCAGTTGGGGTATGTCCAGGAAGGAGGCAAGCTCAGTCTGGGGAAATGTTTCTTTGCCTTAAGGTTGGAAACTCAGCTTATCTCCAGCCAGGATTGAACAGGGAGAGTGTGGGTGTGGGTCAGCCTGTCTTAAAGAGGGTGATAGGAGAAATAGCATCACTTCCATGTTACAGAGAAGTGCGGCTCATCCTCTTACCAGAGGATGATTTGGGTCATTTTGGTCTGCGTGGGCAGGAAGTAGAGGGACCAGATCAAATGAAATGCTGCTCACTGAAGCAGTAGGAAAGAGCCAAAGTGAAGGAGCCCAACTGCTATGAACATTTCTGCTAGAGGACATTTGGATGTGTCACTTGAGGATGATGGCTGCATCTATCCCCTATACCAAAAAGACTTTATCAGGGGACCTGATACAGTGTTTGTATAGCTCCATATGCTGCAGTGCTGAATTAGACCTTGCTCTTTGGTGGTAGCTGTCAAAGAGTCATTAGYGTGTGTGAAATAAGTACAAGCTTATCCCAACCTATGGAAAGAGGAAAAAAAGGAAGGATGAAACCAGGCCTGCATCTTTTGGGGCAGCAGGCTCTCCTGGAGGATGTGGACATATGGAGAGCATACTGGAGAACATTCTTGACCATCACCATCAGGGTTTGCAAGTCAATCAACAAAGTCCTCTGGACAAAGGCAGATCTTACACCTTAGAAAATCAGATGAAGCTCTTGCCAGGACAGGAGCATTGAAGCTCTTGCCAGGACAGTAGCATTGATAGAAGAATTGCTGTGGTATAGACAGCTCATAAGCGGCCAGATCAAGCTTAAAGAGATCAAAGGCATTCAAATAATGAAAAAAATCAGAGAAAAGTTGCAGTAGTGAGCTGTCAGTAGGTGATGATTTCTTGAATGAAGTTATTCCATTTCATCTTTCAAGGCAATAGGTAGTCTCTCGCTTTCTGAAATAAATAAAACCCCTGACCCCATGAATCTCCTCAAATGAAGAATGCAGCTGAGAGAGTGCAGATGTGGGACTGAAGTTCTGCAAATACAGTGTTTCAGGGAAACCACTGACTGAAGGAAACCTCTCAGAAGATGAAACACTTTCTCCCTCATTTTTTTTTTCTGATACCACCTTGGAAGAGAAAGCTTTTAGTGTGACTGATTTCACAGGTAAAGACTTACTAATTTGAAACAGCCTGGGCATATCTGACAACTCAGAAAATGTCACGAGCTCCTGAAAAGGCTATGATGGTGGAAAAAAAAAAGGGAGTTACCTGATTTGATTCTTGCTCGTCCACAGTTAAGAATTTCAATAATTAGATTTAGCATGAAAGTCCTGCCTCTACTTCTATAACCACTTGCTTCATTTGTTACAGATCATCTATAAACCAGAATGATCTACCTGAAAAATGTTTGCCATAAATATATCTAAAAGACACCTAAAAACTACTTACTACCATCTCTTACCACTTCAGTAGAGATTTGTTGGAGAGATGGGCAGACCAAAAGACTTTCAGAGCTGTCTCAAGACATTCTAGTACTATTGACCTTTCAAGGTGAATTATAAAACAAAATCCTTCAACTCCAATACAGAAAAAGAAAAAAAAAATCTATATGCTTGAGAACAATAAGTTTAATGAATTGAACCAAGAGATACCTGGTAGAAATGGCAGTGGAAGATTGTTACTGCCTTGGTAGATTTACTATTTCCTTTCAAATAGAAGTGAAAGACAGCCTGAAAGCAGCTAGTCTCAGCATGTCTCACATTAGCTGTTGAAATGAGATGTTAGTGAAACAGGATTACACTGCCTCATGTTGGTCTTGGTCCAGAGCGGTTCTGAGGTACAAGCATCTACCTGCACTCAACTTGAATGCAGTCTCTGGTGAGATATATGGAGACTATAGCATACTCACTATAGCTCACATACAGTAAACTGACATATGATCCATCTGGGTGGCAGATGTCTCTTACCTGTCAGCCTGGCTTTGCTCTGCACTCTTTCATTGTTTATCTTGTGACATATGAATTATGTGCCTGTTAACAACTGGGCACACCTGAGGCCCAGCAGTGACAGGGGACCAAGCTTTGACGCTGCATCACAGTACAAGAGGTTTAACCTTTTACTATGTCATACAGAATATTTATTTTATTTGTTGTGGAATAAGCAATGATATGGCCAGGAACAGTTGTCTGACATCCTATACCTTATCACTTAAAATTCCAACTGCTGACAGCAAAGGGAGGGAGGTTAAACACTCATTAGGAAATTCATCTCACTTCAGTCTTGATAGCTATGGGTGAAAGGCCTATCTCAGAGCTACCCACTCCCAGCTCTCCTTATAGTCAGTSGATGGCAATAGAAATTACCAAGGTGTTATTTGTCTGACCTATGTTAGACATGTAAAAAGATTGTGTCTTTGGAAAGAATGGGATGATTGTGCCCTAAAAGTACCTATTTTCTTCCTTGGTTGTAAATGGAGATCAGACTACGAATGCATTGCACTTACTGTTCCTCATTGCTACCACCTCTTTACAAACTGTTCATAACGTATTTCCTTCTTCGGTTTCTTGTAGGACCCTTCCATAATGTTTTTTCCGAGTTATCCTGCCCGGAACTGCTGAATCAATCTTTCAATCTTTCTATGCTGGGGCTAAACACAAATAAAATCCCTTTCATCCACGGAATGGTAAGAATCAGTCATCTATTTATCAACTTGTCCGACCTTGAAAGCCACTTGGTGGAAGATACTACCATGGAAACCATGTGAGATGGAGCCCTGAATGTGTCACACAATTAATTTTGCAGAATTTACAGATTTTCTCATAAGGAACATGTGGTCTGTGAGTGTGTGAAGGGCTGAGGTGGGTGGTTGGTTCTGAACAGACAAAGGAAGTAGAAGTCAGAGATTTCCCTTCCCTTGGTTGGGAAATGTCTGGGGCAAACTGTTACTGACCAAATGAAAATAAAGATGTACTTTCAATCAGGCAACCTCAGTTTCAATTCAGTGAAAAGTTACTGCTCARAAAAGAAAACCAGGCTGAAATGTTTCATTTTGACCTTTTCTAAATAAAATATTTCACTTTGCATTTCAAAAGAGAATTTTGGTTTAGAATTTTACCTACATTTTCTTTCAAAAGTTTTGAAAGCAAAATGAGATGTTTCAGTTTGAATTGGGTGAGTTCTTTGGGCTGACCCCAAACGAATTTTTTTTTGGTTAAATTATTCACTTGGGTTACCAATATGAAAGTCTGTTATTCACACGGTTCTAATTTCCTTTGCCCTATTTTCTTTCCCTTACCTTTTCCTTCCCCCCAGGCCATGGAGTAGTATGGGAATCCATAGGTTTTCAACCTTGCTTGAAGTGCACCTGCTCCACATCCTTTATAAAGGACACCTCCATCCTAGAAGCTAGAATACCTCTCCTGGAGCAAAAATTAGAGCTGCCTACTTAATTTATATTGGTTTTCCCTCCCCTTCACACAAATTCGTGACTAGAACAACACTTTTTTCTACCTTTAAAACATTTTAACTAACTCTGAAACTTCATATTGTGAAGACAGGGGAATCCAAAGCATGAAGAGAAGTTTCCACATCCTGCTGAGTAAGTATTGGTGACAATTTAAGAAACGTCTCTTAAGTGTATAATGAAGAGTGTTCCTTGGTTGGGAGATCTACATATTCAGCATCTGAATATATATTTTCAAATGACCTAGAATAATAGAAGGTGCTGATATTTCTAATTTGCTGCTGGAAATATTTTTCTGGACAATGTAAATATATGAAAGTGTGTTAGTAGTCAAACAGAACATGCAACTATGTCTTCCTAGGCTTTAAAGCACAAGCAGTTATCTAAGTCTTGCTTTGAAGAAAGTGTAAATTGCATTCAACAGCCTGATAACTCTTCAGTCACAGCCATGACCTATAGCCAAAAGATGTATATAAAACTGGTGAGATAYGGAACGGAATTAGGCTGCTATTACAAAATAGGATTAGTCAAGAGGTTGAGGTTAATTTCAGACTTGTGAATGATGCTTCTAGGTAGGAGATTACGACCCTGGAAAGAACCAAGACCTCCAGCACAGTTTGGTAGGACACAGGGAGTTCTTGGCAGGCAGCTATTTAATGAAGTTCTACTATTACTTCATCTGGAATACACTGATGAATGGATTAGAAAGGATGTTATTTTTACCTCTTTCCTCTTTAAGAAGTAGATGAAAATGCCCTCTTGAGAAGAAATGTCCACTTGT